TTAACTTATTTCCTTATCTATTTATTTCTCTTCTTGTTTTGAGATCTTTCGCGCGCAGGGGAGGCCCGGCCCCGCTTGCAAGCTGGAGATAAAACCGGGCTCTGCAACCACCCTGCATGCGCGGCGGGTTTTTTCGGCAGCTTTTGCACTGCCCCAGCGCTGTTATTGGGGCAGTTTTAGGAGAGCGGTCCTTGGGGATGCAAGCAGATTTTCTCCCTCTCCATCCCGCTCTCTTGGCTCGGGTCTGCTGAGGATGCGCGATTAACGCCGGTTACTAAATTTGGGCAGTTTTTTGGGTATTGCGTGCTCACCCACGGCATCCTCCAGCTGCGCCTCTCCATTTCTGCAGATCTCTGCGCCACCATCCACTACGGGCTCTCCGGGCAGTACTTCTGGTTCTGGCTCGCCGTGTCCTGCCTTGTGCCTGGCTACGCAGCCCAGCTCATCAGTGCCCTCTGGTTCAGGGCCGACGGGCACCAGCTTCACCGCTGGCTCCTGGTGCTCCACGTGCTGCAGCTGGGCATCTGGAAGCGGTGAGGAATGCGCCCCGGGAACCCGAGCATGGCTTACTGGTCCCATCTTTTGAGGATAAACTGCATTTTAGATGCTCTGTGCAATATGTGGCTGAAGGGGCCATCAGCAGCACTGGCCTTCGGGTTGCACAGGAGATACTTTGCATTGCTGTTGCATTTCCTGGGAATTCCCGAGCTCCCTCCCTGCAGAGTGATGTTTTAGGCGAGGAGTTAGGCAGAATGTGAGATTTTTAATTTGAGTGTCTGGCTGGCAGTAAGCCCCTCCTCCCAATCTGAAATGGCTTTCCATGACCTTTTCCATGTTCCCATGTGAATTCCAGGAATAGTTTTATCCGCTCTGACCTCCTCCATCTGTTGCTAGAAGAATTACTGAGTGTGTGTGCATCCATGTTGTGTTTTAGTAGAAGACCCTGGCAATAATTTTGCTTTTATTCCCGTTGAATCTGTTGCTGGGGGTGTGATGTTTAGCTAATAACTAGGAACTATAGTTTGTGCTTCATTCAATACTTTGGGTTTCCAGCTTCGCCTGATTCCCTGCAACCTTTCTCCAGGATGGAGAACAGGAGCGGCGGTGGGATGGAGGGAGGTTGGGATTTCAGGATGGAGAAGGTGAGAGGCAGAGGTCAGAGCAGATGCTTGGTGTGCAGGCCACGAGATTGCTAATTTGACTTGCTGCACCGCTCATTGACGGCATTTCTGACCCTTCCAGGTACTGGGATGTTCTGCAGATGGCAACGAAGGCAGGGGGCACTGGCATTACCAGGGAGCTGCTCATGCAGCAAGGGGACGCGGCCGTCCTGCGGCTCCTGGACGCGCTGCTCCAGAGCCTGCCGCACGTGCTGCTGCAGGCCTACATCTTCGTGGCTGTGGATCGGACAGACCTCTTCCCCGGTAAGTCAGGAATTTCCAAAAAGAGATTAAAAAAGAGAGGGGGTCTGTTTTTGAGTTGTAGATATCACATTTGGGCAGGTGGTGCTTATTCCCATGTGGCAGGATGCAGAGTGTTCCTGCAGAGTTACTGCTGGAGCTTTACCTGCTGGGCATCAGAGGATTTATCTATTCTAAGTTACTACGTGGCTGGTAGTAACCTCAGCAGGACAGGTCCTTCTGTCACACCATGTTTGTCCGTACACTTCTCTAGTACATCCCCAGGGACCTCCCAGCAGATCTTTAATCTCTAAGAACACGCCAGCAGCAATCGTGCTGTCAATCTCAGCACATTGCTTGCCTAATAACATTTAGGCAGGAAGATGCCGGAGTGAGAACCTGGTGGAGACCAGGGAGCATTCAGCAAGAGGCTGCAATATCTTTTGCAGGTGTCAGCGCTGGGCTGTCCCTCCTCTCCCTCGCCTGGGCTTTGGTCTCCTACAGCCGCTCCATGTCCCTGCTCAAGCCAGGCCACCTCTACCTACCGTCCGCGGCCCTCCTGTGCCTGCTGCTGTGGAGGACGGGGATGCTGGGGACCAGGGTGCTGGCCCTGGTGCTCTTTGCCAGGCTCTACTCCTACTGGGTCTTTGCCGTGGTTGGTAAGAGCAGCTTTCACGTTTCGTGTGTGGCGTCCCGCTTTCAGCCAGAGAGATGCTCCTGGTGCTTGGGTACCTGGCACAGCTTCATCCCACCCGCTGTGTTTAAACGTCCCCAGACACAATGTCTGGTAGCTCTTTTTATCTCTGTGTATCTTCACACCTCCTTGAAAGCCAGCAAAAGCTCTCCTGGGCCAGTGCATCTGGAGTGTTGTCAGACAGAGATCCTGCCACAGCTCTGTCACATAGACCCAGCCTCCCTCCTGCTTTGATCAAGGAGGTGCAGGACGGTTCACGGAGCTCTTTACAGCATGACAACAAACCTCAGCTCAGCAGATTTCGGCTCTTTTGTGCCTTTCCATTTCAGGCATCCACTGGCTGGTCATGTCCTTCTGGCTGGTGGCTCAGCAGACAGACATCGTGACACCACCCTGCCACTGGAGACTCTTCAACTGCCTGCTGGGAGCTGTCTATGTCTTCTGCTACATCAATGTCCGGCCTGGTCCCTCCAAGCTCAGAGTGGCTGTGTTTTATGCAGTAAGTGCCCAGGCTATTCAGTATTTTGCCTGAATTTGCAGGTTTTGCATGGGGGCAGGAGGATAAGTGACGCTCAGCTTGTCCCTGAGCTGCTCCAAATTTTGAGAGGGTGGCTAAAATCTCTCCTGTTTTGACCTCATGACTAATAACAGTTTCCAAGAGCAGGAATTCACAATCCAAACAGGAGGTCCCCAGAAATCTTCACCCAGAGGCTAACTAACAAGCACGTCTGACACTGAGTGTCTTTTCCTGGTGATTTCTCCCTTGAGATATTTCAGACTCTCTCACCATTTGCATTACCTCATGCTAAGGATCCAGCACTTCCCCCCAAACCATCAGCAAGGTAAAAATGGTTTCTCCTCTGGCTTCATTCCTATTTTACTGAGAAGTGCAGAGTTTAGTTTTGTACTTTTGTGCCTGCAGTTGCTCCCAGGCCTGGGTTGATGCTGGATATTCTTTCCACAGAATATCATCAGAGTCTTTGAAGCAAAACAAGAAGACTGGAAACTCTCTCTTTTTTTTTAATAAGCAAAGAGAAACTCCACCTGAGTGCAGAGAAGGCTGAAACAAAAGGGAACTTGCCATAGTGGTGCAAATTAAGCAGGCAGAAGCTGGAAAAGGGGTGTTTGGTATCATGGGAAGCATGTCTAAGCTGTCACCAGGGTTGGAGTGACTGCTCTCCTTCCTCTGCAGGTCATGCTGGTGGAAAATACCCTCCTGCTGCTGCTGGCCACAGAGTTCCTGCAGGCAGAGCTGTGGAGCAGCCTGAGTCTCACTGGGGCCATCACCTCGGGGTTTTTAATAGGTGAGAGCTACTGATTTTTCGGGGCCCACTTGAGGGATGTGAAGAGCTTTGGATGGCAAGTTTCAGCTTGAGCAAATCATCATCATTGGTTTTATCATGCAACAATTTTAGTTGCAACAGAATATTTCCTTTGATTACTACAGCTGAAGTTGCTGTCTTTATATGTGTATTTATATATCTTATAATGCATAAATCCTCCTTGGGTTTCAATTCTTAAAATCATATCCTAAAATTCCACCACTGGAAAAGCAGATTTGTCAAAAAAAGAAAAAATGAGGTAGTTGTGTCCATGGTGTATTTAATCTCCCATGGCTGTCATACACAAACAACCTGAAGCAGGAGAGAGGTCGTATAACTTGCAAACAACCCCACCAGCATCTCTATTTACAAAATTCGCATTGGGGAAATTCATGTCCCTGAGGTCTTCCCATCTGAGCAAATGGTCCAGCAGACAGACTGACAAGCTGCTGTCCTTCGGTGAGGATCAGAGTTGCTATTTTGCTGGTTGGGGTTTCCCTGGACTTGTGTTTCCCCGTTTTGATAAAGGGAGAGGGGAGCTGCACCACCTGCGTCCTAAGGGTCTATGCCCAAGTCATCCCATCCACGAAAGGACAAACTTGGGCTGGAACGGGAGCTGTTCCTCAGGGCTTGAGTAAGTTTAGGGTGGAAAGAATCATTTAGCATTTCTCCTGATCGTGGCTGGTGAAAAATACTCCAAGAGGAAAGAGCAGCAGCTTCCACAAGAGTAAGAAGTGAGCATGGATGAAACCCTTCCCATTAGCAGCTAGTGGATGGGGATGCTGAGAGGAAGGACGGATCTCTGGGCTCACCATCTTGTTCCTCTGTGGCCACCTATGTCCATGCCCTGCCGGTGCTCAGTAGCTGCTTCTCCATGCACCTGTCAGTGTGTAAATCAACCTGGATTTTTAGGAAATTATGTCTTAAGAGGGTTCTGCTGCCAAAATGTTGTATTCCCATATTTTTTTTCCCTTTGCAGGAAACTGCTCGCATGGGATTTTTGCACTGCTTTAAACGTTTACATTTTGAAACACCTAGTCCTCAGCTGCATCTCTGCAAAAAGGGTTCGTGGATCAGGAGAAGACAGCGAGGTCCGACCTTGCTTCTCTTGCACACCTGACCAAAATGATGGCAGGAGGGTTCCTTGATACATTTCTGCTCTTTTCCAGGCACTGCAGCTCTGGTGGTTTATTACAGCCTGCTCCACCCCAAGTCCACAGAGATCTGGCAAGGTTTCCTGGAGAAATCCTGCAGTGTCACGGCCCCTGGTGATGATGGAGCTGGTTGCCCAGCAGGGCAGAGCTTGGGAGGTTCAAGTGGTGGAGACGGCGAGTCCTTGATGATGGAAAGGACACAGGTAGCTTCCAGGAACCAGGATGGGTCATCCCACCTCACCGAGGATGACTGGACAAGCCATCACCACTGGCTGCTGATAAAGTTGGCTTTGAAGACAGGAGACATCTCCAAGATCAACGCAACTTTTGGAGATGGTGGCATAGGAGAGATTTATCCTGGAGGACCGATGTTGGGCAAACCCTCCCGGGTTGAGCCCGGGGCAACCCTTACCCTCCCAACAAGAGAGATGGGTTCTCTGGGTTTTGAATCCGACCTGACTGGTGAGAAGTTTCCAGAGACAGGGAATAGGGGAAGCAGCAAACACGACCCCAGTGCCAGAGGAACTGCAGGAGAGGACCATGGACTCGTAATGCAAGATGCTGTGAGTGGTAGCAATGCTGCGTGGCACGAAGCACAGCAAGAGCCTGGTCCTCACTCTGCTGGAGCCTTTTCCAACAGCCTGGACTCATCTGAGGTTTGTGATCGCTCCTCTCTCTACTTCAGCGCAAACACTGGAGGAATTGCCTCTCCTGGAGCAGAGTCGGAAAAGGCCCCACTGGAAAGAGAGGGGAAACCGCAGTCTCCAGCAGACCGCCTGGGTGGAAAAGGAGAGGGCTTCCCCGTTGGGATGGCAAACATCAGCCCCATCGTGGGCCTGGGGGCCCCCGGTTGTCTGCAGAGCAGCTCGTCCCCCTGCAGCACGAGCGAGCGCGGGGGGACAGAGCTGGAGGGCGTCTTCATAGGGTGGCGTCGGAGCACCCCGTCCTCTCGGATGAGGGTTCCTGAGGAACCACGCTTCACGTCTACCCCCAAGGCTGACCCCAAGGGCACCCAGCAAGGACCGAGGGGGCTGTCCGGGGTGCCGGAGTGAGCGGGTAAATCCCTGCTCCCGGGATCGGCTTTGTAGCAATTGCCACTGGGGGTCCGGCGGGGGGGAGCAGGATGCTGCCACTGCCATGAAGACTGTCCCATGCCACCAGGTGCGGTCCTTCATCCCTATGAAATTTCTTCTTGTCCCGCCACACCCTCTCCTTTCAGTTTTGGAGAGTTAGAGTAGGTATCCTAAAGTCTATTTTTAGATATTTATTGAGCTTATTTATATAACGATCCCGCTAGGCAGCTGGAGCACTCAACCTTTTACATATTTGCGACGATGCCTGGAAACACATCCTTTAACAAGTGCCTTGTACAAGCTACCAGCCTGTCTGCAGCGTGGAGATCTGGCTGCTGTCTCTGCTTCCCCTTGGTAGGGGAGAGAGAGGCCAAAGTGAGAGTCTTTTCAGGTTAAATAAGTGCCTAAGACTAAAAAAAAGCAATATGAGTTTCCTCTCGAATGGAGGCAGAACAAGCCCTAAGGTAATGCACAGCTGCTTTTGATTTATGAAGCCCCACTAGTTCATCTCAAGAACTTTACCATTCCATTCACTGGGACCAAATAGGAGCCCAGACCCTATTGCACGAGACCACATTATTTAAAAGGCTATGTCAGGCTGGCTCATTCACAGTCCCGCTTCCTAAAGTTAATCACAGGTAAAATAAATATCCTCTAACAGATGATCCCTCCTGGGCTCAAGAATTTGATGAAGAAGGATGCTCTATCAGTAGAAGCTGCGTTGGATCAGACTACCAGATTGGTCTTGAGAGAACTGGGATGAGATTTGTGATAATTGTTTTAAACTTGAACAGGGCAAAGTTATACTCAGCCTATTTATTCTGATCAAATTTTGGACTGTTTCCTCATTAGAAATTTTTTTAACAAAGCATCCTGGAGTTGAATAAGCTCTTGGTCTGAGCTGATGCACATCTGGTGGTGTCCTCCAGCTGTTCTGCTGGCAGCGCTGCCGTCCCACTGCGGTCCATCCCTGATGCCCAGGGATGGGAAATACTGGGAGGAAAGACAGGAACACCATGGATTACTATTAAAAAAAAAAAAAGCCATTTAGCATTTGCTGCTCAGAAATGACGCACCCAGACCCACTTCATCAAGCTGATCTGTACACTGAAAAATGTGTTGGCAGGTGGGATTTGGGATTGAAGTGACTTTCCAGCATGACTAAAAATCTGCACTGTGTCTCCGCTACAACTTGGGCACAGCTGCATTTTGTGAGGAAAAAAACTGCACTGAGTTGCTTTAGGCTCTTGCTGTGTGCACACCGGCTGCCTCACACAGAAGGCAGCAGAGTGAGTGTTTTTACTGTTTGTTTGTTTTTAAACTTTGATAATACATAACTGCTGCTTTCAAAAGCAACCCGGCCTTTCCCGTGTCTGTGTCTGATGCTTGGGGTTGAAATGTGGAGCGTGCAGAAGTCGTCTCTGCATGTTGCTTTGGGAGGTGCTGGACCTCCCTCTCCTGCTGTTTTGCAAGTAAGCCCCTGCACAGCTTCCTGACCTGCACTTTTGCAACACTGTTTTCCTGTTTTCTTAGATTTTATCATTAGATCCAACCTCAGTGAGCCTTTTTGTTTAATCAGCTAGGTGTGCTTTTCTTCCTCCAGATGAGGATGTGCACAGAAAGGACACAAATACGAATGAACGTGGGGCTTTGCATTGCTCCCTTTTTCTTTTAGCCCCACTTTGGAGGTTGTGCCACTGCATTGACTGCAAAAATCAAATGCTTAGTAGCTGGCCAGCCAAAGTCTGGGCTGCCCTGAGACCCATGCAGGTTGTGGGGCTTTGCATTGCTCCCTTTTTCTTTTAGCCCCACTTTGGAGGTTGTGCCACTGCATTGACTGCAAAAATCAAATGCTTAGTAGGTCGAGTGCTGGCCAGCCAAAGCCTGGGCTGCCCTGAGACCCATGCAGGTTATCCTAAGGCCAGATGAGCTAGGAATAGCAAATGCCCCCAGGAAGATCTGCTCTCCAGTCCTGATGAGAATCCTTCAGACACAGAACCACCCTTGCTTGTGATAGCTATATTTACCCTGTAAACACAAAAGTTGCTGTTGTTAACAGCAGACCACGGGCTTTGCACTAACTCAGGCTTCAGGACCTCGCAGGAATTGTCCCAAGCAGTCATGGGTTTCTTCTGGCTGTAACTGCAAAGATTGATAAGGGTCAGGAAGCCGTTGGGAGGGCTGTATCACTAACTGCAGCAGCATGGTTTAACCATACAAGGGGAAGGTCTAACAGAATCATTGTGCAATTGGCCTGTGGACCAATAAAAAAAAAAAAAAAAAAAAAAAAATGGCCTGTCTGTTTAATAAAGTGAAAAAAAAAAAAAAAGGCTCAGAGATCCACTTCTCCTGGGGATAATGTGAAATCTGGACCTTTATTTGTTGTTAGAGATTTCCAGCCTGGAGGCGAGCCCTCTAGTACCGAGTGATGGGGTTCCAGTGCTGCTCCAAACCACAGGTGTATAGAAATGACCTATATCTAAAACCCTCTTTGGAGCAGAACAGCTCTGGAGGTGCTGGGAACATCATGGGGTGGGAACTGGAATAAATTTGCAGTGCTCAAAAGTGCTTCGATGGGAATTGGTTGTGCCAGTTTAATAGTGCTGTCGGTGTAAGTGCCTGGGTAGCTCCATCCCACCAGACTGCCACATTTTGTGTTCCCCAGTGCCTTCCCAATGATCATTCTTGCAGCTTGCTTTGTGCAGGTTGCAGGAGCTGCTCTGGGGAGATGTTCCTCTCCGGAGAGTTCCCGGCCCCTTTGCCGCCAGAGGGAGATGCAGCTCCCGATGCCAAGCGGACGTGCCGGTGCCGGCACCGGGCGCTCGCCCAGGCTCCAGGTTATGGGAGGACAGGAGCGCTGCCGCTGCTACGTGATACTCCGGGAGCAGATGGGAGCCGGCGGCCATGGACGGGCGCCAAGGAGAAATGTGGGTTTCTAGGATACTGGAGTAGGCTGAGACGCGCGCCCTAAGGAATGCAAACCTGCGGAGAGGGGGTCCCAAGGGGTAGCCTGGTGAGACGGGGGTGGTAACAGCTTATCTGCACATATCGCCTTGCACAGAGGATGGAAACTTTGCATGCAAAGGTGCAAGCGTGAGGAGAGCCGCTGGATGAGCACACGGTGTGACAGGGGACCTGACGCCTTGGGGAAGCTGCTCACAGTGGCTCCATCTCAGTGCTGAGTCCTGATATTTGCTGGTTCATGAGTCGATCTGTGTGTATATGCACCTGGGAATTTGTGGGACGGTTGCATTGTCGCTCTCCTGCAGTCCCCAGATCTGCTCACCGTAGAGTGACGTGGCCCTGGGCCTTGTCAAGCCCAGAACATGAAGATGCAGGAGAAACTGCAGCTGCAGAAGAGCCTGGTGGGGGGCAATGAACTGTCTGCCCAGCAGCTGGTATTTCCTTGCAGGGCTGCAGCACCCTGTTGCTCACAAGCCCAAATGCTTGAGGGAGACCAACCAAATCTCATTTTCCAGCATTTTCCCCGAAGCACCTTTTTATATAATTTTTTTTGGATGAGCTGCATTATCTTGAACTGGACCTTGGGGCTCTGCCCAACATTTGGGGGATGCCCATCTCTGAGCTCGGGGCCACCTGCAGCCTAAAGGCCGGGGGACATCCCCATCCTCTCCATCCCTGGTGCTCTCCTGGGCTGCAAAAGGGCAGGAACAACTCCGGGGCGAGCGGCAGCGTTGGACAATGCAGGGAGTTACCCACGGGCTCCCCAGGGAACGGGCTGTTCCGCTCACCGGTGATCTGGAAAAAAGCAGAGAGCAGGAACAGAGGCTTCACTAGTAAATTAAACAGCACCTTAGCCAAGGCCTGGGTGCTACAAACGGGTTGTCCCGCCACGGTGCCCGGCCAGGGAAGAAGTGGGCAGGTGAAATCCATTTTCTTTGCTGAAATACAGGGGTGGATTTGCAAGGCGTGCATGGGAGAGGGGGGTAAGCCTCACTTTGCATCCAAAGGGCTGGTATCTGTAGAGATGGAGGAGCTGAGAAGATTACTTGGTGTTTGGCATGGTCTGGAAAGCAATTAAAACAGTATTGGGAGAGGACTGAAAATAGAGCAGGAAAAAAAGAAAAAAAGTCTTTCTTCTGTATAAACCCACACTGAGTCCTGGTTGTTTCATCTCCAAAACACTATCACAATCTTCCTGCAGCATCTTCTGCCCCCGATCCGGGCTCTGTGAGGCCCAAGTTGTGACTGAGGCTTTGGGACCTGCAGGCTCAGAAGGAAAGTTGGGACACTCCAGAGTCAGGCCCCAAGAAAGATCTGAGACATATTTGCCCCAGGATATTGTTGCTTATTTGGTTGTTTTTTTTTCCGAGATGAAACTTTGGACACATTTTTCCTAATTAAACAGTTTTGGTTCACCACAAATCCCTTTTCAGGGTATTTGCTATTCCTGTAAAGCGCATTGCCCGGGTTTTGCGCTTACTGTCAGCGGTGCCTATTGCTCCAAGGCTAAACAACAACCCAAGGGGGAATGTTTATGGAGGGAAAAAAAAAAAAGCACAAGCTAATCAGGACTTACCTAATTTGAGGAATAGCTTAATTAGGACCTGAGGACTCTATTTCCTGCAGTACATTTGGCAGGAGGAAAGCATTCCGTGCTCTGAATACCGGGTTTGCAATGGCTCCAAACTCACCGGAGCAGAGGTTCCTCCTTGCTCTCTGTCCCCCAGCTCGGCAGACTGGATGGGATTTTCCTCCGGGAGAGCCCTGTGAGGGACTTTAAAATCAAAGCCTTGTTGCATCCAGGCTTTTCCGAGCCACTGGTGAAGTCCTCCCCGGACTACAGGAGGGCTGCATCCTATTGAAGGGTAAGTAAGTCGCATGGTCACAGGGTTGGAAAAGGGAGGATGGAGAAAGGGTCGGGCAGCTCCGAGCGCTGCCCAGCTCCTGGCACGGGGAGGGATGCAGGAGGATCCTGGACATGTGCGGTGGAAGAGGAGGTTGGTGCAGAGGTGATGGGTGTCAGGTGCACAGTGGGTACAGGCGCAGGTTGGTGTTGGGGTGTCCCCGGGGTGGGTGTTGGACGTGGGTAGGTGTCAGGCTGTGGGTGTGCAGTGTGTACAGGCGCAGGTTGGTGTCGGGGTGTTCCCGGGGGTGGGTGTTGCATGTGGGTAGGTGTCAGGCTGTGGGTGTACAGTGCGTACAGGCACAGGTTGGTGTTGGGGTGTCCCCAGGGGTGGGTGTTGCATGTGGGTAGGTGTCAGGCTGTGGGTGT